ATATAAATATAACAAAAATTTTGAAGTTTATATTCAATAATATGTATTAATAATTAATTAATAAATATTTTGAAATTTACTGATAATTATAAAATTAACTTAAAAATTGTAAACATCTTAAATTTTTAATTAAATAATAGATATGATTATTCTAATAAGAAACATTATGCTATTTACATCAAATGATTAATTTTAGTATAAAAATATCAATGATTTTAAATTAATAATTAGTTTAATTTCAGATGGATTTTACATTTTTCTATTATTTAATTAAAACATAATTAAAAATTAAATTGTCATGAAATAGAAAGATTCTATATAATTTTAATGTGAATTATGTATATTTAAAATATAAATGACTGTTCAGTTTATTATTTCTCTTATTTATTGATGATCATTTCTCCTTCTTACATTAGAATGAATTTTTTTTGTTAAACAACAAGTTAAGTTATTTAATTAACTAAAAAATTAATCCATAACTATTCAATGTCAAAAACAATGTAATTTTGATAATTTCTAAATATCGACTTTTAAGACAATTAAAAATCATAATAGTGTAGGCTTCAAAAACCATTTTATAATTTCCTTCATAAAACTATTTAAAAAAATTGGTTTCTTGTAAATGAAATTGTAAAATTAATTTTTGTTGATAATTTTTATCAAGATTTTTTTAATTAATCAATATATTTTATCAGAGTAGAATCATTGTTCTCTTTATTAATAAATGTCCAGGTTTATAAATTGAGAATTTAAGGAAGAAGTTATTGCTACTTTATTTTTCATTTTCTTTATGATATATTATTAGTGATGTAAGTTTCTCCATATCCTAAAGCTATTGAAAAATATAATAGATTTATGATATAAAGTAATTTGATTAATAATGCTTATTTAATTTGAAATTAAAATTCATATTTTGTAGACAAAATAAAAATATCCATTCATCATATTGCCATTTTTTATTTTAAAACCAATCAATAATTATTCAAATGAATTTTTTATTTTATCATAAATTTTTGATGATATGTATGTTGGGTGTATGTAAAATCGCGTTAATTAACTATATTTCTTTATAGGCTCTTTTATCATTAAACTTGAAAACAGTTTTTATTAATGATTAGTATTACGTTGGTTTCGGACTAAAATTTTAATTAAGTTTATAAAAAATACTGATAAATTGCATACTTAAGAATTATTATATCACAATACTCAACCAATTAATTATTATTCAAAATAAGAAGCACCATTTTATTATTTAAAAAATTTAAAGATATTTGAATATGAGGGAAATAATCTCATTACATATTGGATAAGGCGGTGTTTAATTAGGGAATTCTTGTTGGGAATTGTTTTGTTTAGAATAAGGGATTTAATCTAATGGATTAATTAAAAAAGAAATAAAAAATTAAGAGGAAAATGGTGAAGTTTTTAAATTCTTCTCAGAAACTAAAGAAGGAAACTATTCTCCAAGATCTTTATTTATAGACTCAGAATCAAATGCAGTATAAAAAGTGAAATATGGAGCAAATAGGGAATTATTTAGACAAAATTAATTTATATATGGCAAAGAAGATGCTTCAAATAATTTTGCTAGGGGACATTATTAAATTGGAAAAGAATACATAGATATAAGCTTAGATAGAGTAAGAAAATTAGTTGAAGATTGTTCATGTCAATAAGGAATAGTTTTATTTAATTCAGTAGGTGGAGGCACAGGTTCAGGTTTAGGCGCCTTATTATTAGAAAGATTGTCAGATGATTATTCAAAGTAAATTAAAATGGGAATCAATATTTACCCATCTCCTTTAAATGGAACTGCTTTAGTTGAACCTTATAATGTAATTTTGGCAACTTAATATTTATAAGAGTTGGCAGATGTTTGCATTCTTTTAGATAATCAAGCCATTTATGAAATTTTTAATAAGATTCTTGATATTGAATGTCCTAGTCATACAAATTTAAATACACTTACAGCATAAGTTTACTCTTCATTAACTGCTGCATTAAGATTTAATGGATCTCTATTTTCAGATATAACAGAATTTTAAAATAATCTAGTTCTACATCCTCGTCTTCATTTTATGTTATGTTCTTACTCACCTATTTTATCAAATTGGAAAACTTGTTTTTAATAACCAAAAACTAATGATATTTCAATTTAAGTATTTGAACCATAAAATATGATGGTTAAATGTAATACTTAATTGGGAAGATTTATGGCTTGTTCAATATTATATAGAGGGGATGTCATTCCAAGGGATGTTCGTTCATCAATTGCCGATTTAAAATGCAAATAAACAATTTAATTTGTTGATTGGTGCCCAATTAATTTTAAAGTAGGTATTACTTACAAAGATCATTGCATAACTACAGATGGAGAAATAGCAAAAGTTGTCCGATCAGCCTGTATGATTTCCAATACAACAGCTATTTATGATATTTTCCCAAAATTCGCCAAAAGTTTTGATTAAATGTTTGCGAAAAGGGCTTTTGTTCATTGGTACATTAACGAAGGGATGGAGGAAGTCTAATTTAGTGAAGCCAGAGAAGAATTAGCAATTCTTGAAAAAGATTATGAAGAAGTTAACTTGTCAGTAATCGATGAAGAAATAGATAAACCACCAGAATGAAGTAAAATATTAAGGATAATGATATTATAAATTACACAATAATATAGTTTATGAAATTTGAATAGATTTCATTTAAATTTCACTTGTATATTAAATTCTCAAATGAAATTTTCTTAGGATAATACAGAAGTAAGTCTCAATGTATTTGTAATTGTACTATTTTTTTTAATTTATAGCATTTATTTTTATTTTAATGTATTTTAATGGTAAACCTATCTTCTTTTTAAGATTATTCAGATTTTAAGTTTTCTCATCAAAACTCATTTATTTCTAAGATTTAGTTACAATACTTGAAAAGAACAAAGTTTTAAATACTTTTAAAATCAATTGTAATATATGCAATTTGGATTGATTATAATGAATTTTGAGAATATCATTATTAAAAGATAACCAAAAATTATGCTGACTTAGAATATGGAAGATTGTATGATATATGAAATAACGCATTTCTCTTACTATTCATTTATTTGTTATAGAGTTGCTAAAAATATTGAAATAAAAAAAAAACTGTGTACTTTAAATGTCTAATAAATTATACTTCTAAAGAATGGATGGTTATAATTTTCAACAATAATTTAATAAATTAAGATTCATATATTAAGGATACATCACCTTAGATATTTAATATTTGATATTTTTCAAATAGCCAGAATTAAAAACAATCCATGAAAGTAATTATAAAATTTCTACAAATAATTAAGAAAAAACTTAAGTAAAATGCTTTCATAATCTAATATTAATTATTTAAAGTACCTTGTTTGAATTTGAATAAAATTTCAGCAAATTTTTAATTATCTAAGCTGTAACTATATATTTGTATTTTCAATACTATGATAGTAATAATGTAGAAAGAAAAGCCTTATCAAAATATTAATCATATTTACCATATTGATTTTAGAAAAAAAAGCTATCAATCTTTTTGAAACTAATTGCACTATTAACAATCCAAATTACTAAATGTCTTAAAAATAAAGATCACCATCATCATATCTCCTTCATAATGACTTGGATTTTTATAGCATAAATTTGTAATATCAGTAATCTAATTAGGCCTTCAAAATCCNTACATTAACGAAGGGATGGAGGAAGTCTAATTTAGTGAAGCCAGAGAAGAATTAGCAATTCTTGAAAAAGATTATGAAGAAGTTAACTTGTCAGTAATCGATGAAGAAATAGATAAACCACCAGAATGAAGTAAAATATTAAGGATAATGATATTATAAATTACACAATAATATAGTTTATGAAATTTGAATAGATTTCATTTAAATTTCACTTGTATATTAAATTCTCAAATGAAATTTTCTTAGGATAATACAGAAGTAAGTCTCAATGTATTTGTAATTGTACTATTTTTTTTAATTTATAGCATTTATTTTTATTTTAATGTATTTTAATGGTAAACCTATCTTCTTTTTAAGATTATTCAGATTTTAAGTTTTCTCATCAAAACTCATTTATTTCTAAGATTTAGTTACAATACTTGAAAAGAACAAAGTTTTAAATACTTTTAAAATCAATTGTAATATATGCAATTTGGATTGATTATAATGAATTTTGAGAATATCATTATTAAAAGATAACCAAAAATTATGCTGACTTAGAATATGGAAGATTGTATGATATATGAAATAACGCATTTCTCTTACTATTCATTTATTTGTTATAGAGTTGCTAAAAATATTGAAATAAAAAAAAAACTGTGTACTTTAAATGTCTAATAAATTATACTTCTAAAGAATGGATGGTTATAATTTTCAACAATAATTTAATAAATTAAGATTCATATATTAAGGATACATCACCTTAGATATTTAATATTTGATATTTTTCAAATAGCCAGAATTAAAAACAATCCATGAAAGTAATTATAAAATTTCTACAAATAATTAAGAAAAAACTTAAGTAAAATGCTTTCATAATCTAATATTAATTATTTAAAGTACCTTGTTTGAATTTGAATAAAATTTCAGCAAATTTTTAATTATCTAAGCTGTAACTATATATTTGTATTTTCAATACTATGATAGTAATAATGTAGAAAGAAAAGCCTTATCAAAATATTAATCATATTTACCATATTGATTTTAGAAAAAAAAGCTATCAATCTTTTTGAAACTAATTGCACTATTAACAATCCAAATTACTAAATGTCTTAAAAATAAAGATCACCATCATCATATCTCCTTCATAATGACTTGGATTTTTATAGCATAAATTTGTAATATCAGTAATCTAATTAGGCCTTCAAAATCCAGACTTTAATTTAATTTGATGTAATGACTTCAAATTTATTTTTATAAAAAATAGAATATTTTGTACTATTATAAGTTACAGAATAATATCCTTATACTAATTAACATTTTTGACCACCAAAAAAGTATAAAATTCACCTAATTGGACAAATAAACAGTTAATTCCCATTTTATATTTTATAGGCTAAACTCTATTCATGATATTCTGTTTTACAGTATATAAAAATTTGATAAATTCGATCTTATTGTTTATATGGGTCCATATTAAATGTTAAAAGACCTAAGTTAAAACTATTAATTTATTAAAATTTATTTTTGATACTGTAATAGATTCAATTACTTTTAAGTTACAATATCAAAAAATTTATAAGTTAATAATAGAAGTAGAATTAAAAAAATTGATTTATTGTTCATTCATACTATTCTTAAACTTTATTGTGAATTCATTAATAAATAGATAGTAAAAATTTCAAACGCTCAGGATTATAAAGTACTAAATTCTATATTTATTAATAACTTGTGATAATTAAATAATTAGTTGATACAAACTAACCTTAAGAGATAATCTTATTAGGATTTTATTTTAAGACTCGAATAGAAGGGTTTTTGATTTTTCGTTCTCTAAAATACCTAGAGTAGTTTTTGCAGGAATTGTTAAATAATTTCATACATTTCAAATCTATAAATAAATGTATTATTGATATAATTTTATAGATTTTTTCTGAGTAAAATTACAATTTTTAATTCTTCTTATTAATTTACATAATATCATAAAAAGAGAAGAGAAGAAAATTTAGTTAGATTGCATTAATAATTTCATATCTAGATTATTGATTATTTTTTCAAAAGTATTAGATTTGGTAGACATAAAATTAATGATTCTGATAGATTAATAAATAATATAGTATTATTAGATACTCTATAGAATTATTAAAGATCAGACAAAACAGATAGATTATTATTCTTAATAACTTATTCAAATTTATTCATTAAATATAAAATATAATAAGAAGAGTCTAAATGAAAGAATATAGGAAATTCAATTTATAAATAATTATTATAATTTCCTTTTAATATTCTAATTTAATAAGTTAAATATTTTATCTTTTTTATTAATAATTCTTCATTTATATTTAAAAAATATGGAATACAGTTTTTAATATATAATTTAATATCTTTCTAAATATGTATATGAATATGTACAGCTATGAAGCTTATAAAACAGATAATTAGAATGATCAAAAAGTTTTTGATGTTAATAATCAGAATAAACTAGAATTAGAATAATCCAAAAGTATATTCATTATATTGAATCAATAGGTATCAGTACAACATAAAAGAGGGCAGACTTTGAAAGTAGTGTTTTTTCAGCCTTAGTGATACAAAATTTATTTATTCTAATGATGATTTGTTTTGGTCTCTTTACTAACATGTAGTTCTGGCTAGTTGATTAGCCTTCTGATATTATTGATTTTTGTTATTGTGGATTTGGAAATACTTACTAATGTTAGGATGAATGTGTTTATTCATAAGATGAGTAAAATTATCCAAAGCCAATAGCTCTATTTTATTGTTCCCTTATAATTGGATTAATTATGCATATTTGGTTAAATGTTGGATTAGCCTAAATTCAAAAAGTAAAATAATTCCATTCATTCTTAGCAACATTTTTTAATAATCCTTCTATATCTCGCTATTTTATGTTTATTTTATATATTTACTCTAACTACATTTTCCATATTGATTGCTTATACTTTGGGAGTCCAATTAATTTTCCTATCTTGGATTATTGACTTTGTATTTATTTTTTGTATAGCCTTCTATACAACTAGAACGAAAACTCAGGTTAATTATAAAGGTAATAATTATTCCATAATTTAAGTTGGCACAATCTTTATTTTTATTCCTACTCTTCTATTTTTAATTATTTATATTAGCATATACCCTGATTCAGCATTATATATTTGTTTGGACTGTTTTATTGTGGCTATTCATGAATATTTCATCATAGCAGAAATTATTAGGTTTAGAAACAAAGAAGTAATTTATAATAATATAAATAAGGAATTTACATCATCAATACTTGATATCATGATAGGCTCAAGCTTACTCTTTGGAAGTATCAATTAGTGTGTCATAAGTTTGATTGAATTATGTTAAGGATTTTTGAAAAAATCAATTTGAGTTATTTCTTTTTAATATCATAAATATATATATATTTGATAAATAAAATATACAAATACCTTAAGTTGATTCTAATTGCACTTAAAAATATTTAAAGTATATTGATTTAATTTGATAAAACTTTGATTATAATTTAATTTATTACAAAAATTGCAAAACTTAAAAACAAAAATATTAAAAGACTATCATAATAATATTTAAAAGTAAGTTATTATTTTAGCAAAAAGATTGGAATTCTTAAAGAGATGACACTTCAATTATTGTTGTTATATAACAAATATAAAAAATGATATAATTCAATTAAATTTAAAAAGGGAATTTAGTAAAAATTAATTCTAAAAGAATGAATAATAATGATATTCTTAACTTAAGGAGCAGTTTGTATATTAACTACTGAATTAAATAATAACTTTAGTGAAATCAAAGGTTCAAATTCATAGATAGCAAAGTAATCTATTTAAATGAACAACCTTTTTTTAAAAGAACTTTATATAAACTTAACAATTGTGGAATCATAATAAATAAAAAAGATATTAAGAAATGGATGAAATTAATTAATAAAAATGTAAATAAAAAGATGCTAAATTTGATCAGCAATATGATTGGTCAGTTATTAATTATTCAAGTGCTCTAAAAATAACTAATATAGGTAATTTAGATAAAATAAATTTAGTAATATAATTTTCAACCAACAGAATGTTTTATTAAACATTAAGTAAAAAGTATATTATAATGAATTTTATACCAAGAATTATAAATTCTCATTTGCATGTCTGTAAAATTTACAATTTGTATAATAACACATTTTTATCAAATTGAAGATCATTGATTATATAATTATGCCTTACGATAATTAAAACAAATAATCACTAATTAAGAAATAAAATAATTATTTATATATAGAAATGAAAATTATTTAGAAATTTTTATTATCATTAATATTTTAATTTTATAAAACCATTTTGTATCTATATGGAATTATTGATGCATTTTTTTGATATTAAAAATTAGATGAAGATAAAATGAAATTTAATTTATGCACACTACATTCGCATTTTTAGGTTTGATTGTTTTGGCCTTGACATAGTTTCTATACTTTGCCACTACATTTGAAATTATGGTCTCTATTGCTTTAACTGTTACAGGAAAAACTTGCATATTAGTAAAAGATAAAGAAATTTGTAAAGTCCCAGATAATTGTGATATTTTTTTATGCTAATTTACAAGTCAACTAACTTTAATAGGTGGTCTTATTTTTGGAATAGTTTTAATATCAACTATATCAAACATAATAATACATTTTATTACTTAGAAAGTTAGTAAAACCACTCTAACTATATTAAACACGATTGATGGATTTATTAGTTTACTACCAGCATTAATTTCCACAATGATATTAATAACATATTTGATTTTACCACTTATCTATACTGAATGGGATTTTTCAATTCAACTTGGATTATTATTAATGGTTTCCACATGTTGCTTCTTTATCTCATATTATCTACTATTAACTAGAACAATTAACAAAAGAAAACCTTGGTAATAAAAAGGAGAAAATTTGATAATGTCAAGCATCTCTTAAGTTTGAGAATATTATCTTTTTATTTATAAAGTTTTTTCTATTTATAAATAATACTAATTAATTTAAAAATAATATTTTATTCTTATTTTTAAGTATCTTTTAAAGATATTATGGTTTAGGCCTATTATATAGTTTGGGTAACAACTATGTTAATTTGAAGAGAAACAATGGAAAGCCTTTCATTTTGATTTATTTTGAAAAGAAAGTAAAAATTTTGAACCTATCCTCATATAGGACCTCTAAAAGGGCTTATGAAGAGGAGAAAATTAGATCATGAATAAATATTTAATATCCTTATTATATATGATATGAAATTACATCCATAAATAGAAACATTCAATTTTGCATATTTAAGAAAAATTGATACTATAAAGAATATATACATATTAAAAAGGGATGAATAAAATATAGAAATAATATCTTGTAACCAGAATATATTTAAAATGATTTACTTTTTAATATTAGAGCATAATAGAATTTAAATTTATTTGACTAATAGATAGAAATATCAAAATATTTAATTAAGTACATAGAAGAATAGGTGTATAAGGAGAATATTTCACTTAGATTTACAGCTGTGAACACTAGAATTAAGTAATTTTTTTTTTTTTTTTGATTTTGAATAGCATTT